TCTTCAACTTAGACCATAATTGAGCCCCAAGCAAGACATTTAAGCGAGTTTGTGCCCATTTTATGACCTTTCTCCCTACCGTTGTTAAGCAAATCATTGCAGTTGTTAAGTTAGTAAGATGGTTGTTAAGGGAATCAGGGTGATGCGGCCCACAGATTCGGATAGAGAGGAGGTTGGGGAAGAAGAGGGGCCAGTCCTGGAGTCTGGGGAAGGCTCGGATGAGGGCTCTGTGTCGGAGGCAGAGATGAGGCCAGAGCCATATGCCAGTTGTCAGCTACCTTTGGAGTCAGACATCAGTGAGGCAGAAGAACAGCTGGAGCCTGTTCCCAGTGTGTGCATGCGCAGAGTGGCCAGACAAGAAGGGAACAGCTGAGGAACAGGGGTTGACTTGGGAGTAAGGCCACAGGTGGAGGATGAATGGCACCTCCCAGAGGAAATAAAAGAGGAGCGAAAGGGGAGTGGAGTTTGCAGGAGACAATTGGTTCCCTTCATTGGTTCGTGACTCTCCGAGGCTCCTTGCCAAGTTTTGCAGAGATCCGTCCGGCAGCTCTCCAAGCCAGATGAGGCCTGTGACTGTAAATCCTCCCTTGAAAGACTTTGCTGGATGTCAATGAGCGGAATTCACAGCAAATTAATAAAAGGGTTTTTTGTCAGGACCAGGAGTTTCCTTCATGCTCTTGGGAAGCCTCGGTCAGAACAGTTTTGGCGGTGAGATCTACACAATTCCCGCCCTCCTTTTCCTGACCTCTGTTGGTCAGGAAGACAACCAAGATGCCAAGCAACCAATGGCCATGCATGGAGCTCATACAAGTATGGGAGATAGAAAATCAGTTGGGAGGCCATGATGCAGCATGGAAGGAGATTGGCTTGCTCCACTAGTTGTGAACAAGAGGAGTCTCTCTTCTGTGGCAGCTTTGGGAAAATCTGTTATCTTCATTGTCCACTATTTCTCAACCTTGGGGACTTTAAGATGGGTGCACTTCAACTCCCAGAATTCCCCAGCCAGAGAGTTTGGGAATTGAAGTCCACCCATCTTAAAGTCCCCAAGGTTGAGAAATACTGCCAAGATGGTTTCTCATGTTAACTGAGGAATTCTGAGAATTGAAGTCCACCCATCTTAAAGTTCACAAGGTTAAGCAACCCTGCCTGGATGGCTCCTTGGTTTTTATTAGGGTTTCTGATCTTGAGAACGAAAACTCATCCTTCCTCCATTTTTCCTTTCAGCGCCGTTTATCCTTTTCCGTCACATGTACAAGCAACGCCAGCGACATCTTGGGCCCAAAAAGAGGAAAATGCACTAATTGGAGTCTCTTTTTTTTCTAATCTTCCTGGAAGATGGGTGCAGGGGGTGGGCTTTGGGCTCTTCCAAACCCTTTTCTTCGCCTGTTAACCCAAAAACCAATTTTGTAGTCGCAATGACACATGTCTTCCTTGCCTGACACCAGAAAATAGAGCCGTCCAGCTAACATTTTCCTTTGCACCTCACTCCCTTCTCGGATAAGCTAAACAGGGGGTCCATGCTAAAAATCTCTTTCTTATGAAATAGACCCAGACCCTTTAGTGAAAAGAAAGCTGCTTTCCGGGGGGGGAAATAGCACAAAAACTCTGCCGCCCGAGAGATGCAGAAAGAGATTTCCAAAACACCAACTTGAGGAGGATCTAAAGAACCTAGAAACGTAGTTAAGACTGAGCAGTAAGTTTCCTGTTGCTTTAAAAGAACCGAGTGGTTTGTTAGGATCAATTTTACTTTTTTTCCTCATCCAGACAGCAAAAATGACTAAATCTAGAGGGGCAAATTCATTGCCCGCTTCTTCCTAGTGGCGTTCTTGTATTAAACTTCCTGACGCACAAGTAATAAAATCTCAGACAAATTTAAAATGAGAGCAGGCCTCTGCAGGAAAACCCCAGGGAGCAGAGACCTCTTGTAATAAGGACAGGGCTGATTCAAATCCTCGTAGGTTTGAAAATGTTGGTTTCTGGTTTAAGAATACTCACCATGTCAACATGCTGAATCTACAGTACTAGATTCTAGGAAAGGTGCCATTCGGATATTAAGGGAAGATGATGAAGCTGCATCTCTTTGGGTGAGAGTCACTCACAGCAATCTGAAAAGCTTTGGATTTTCGAGGCTATGTGGAGTTTTTGTTGTTTCTCCAATTGGGGAAAATGGGTTTTGGATCCCCCAAGTTCTGAGCTAATTTTCCTTCTCAGCAGCGAGAGCATTTGGTGGTGGCATTTAACATTTTTCACCCCTCTTAATCTTCAGCAGGGTTCCCCCATCCCCCCGGGTACCTGGCAGAGGGGGCTGTTAACATATTCGGAGTTGGGGAGGTTAACGGTTTACAGTGCAGGCACTTTGTTACGAATCTGTGTTGGCAAGTTTTGGACAAGGCAAATCAAAGGCCTATTTCTAATAATAAATGCTTCTAAAAACATCTTTCTTGTTTCTGCATCTCTGGCTTTGCAGTAGGTAGATCGATATTTAATTATTATATTGCCCGTGTGGGAGAGGTTTCATTCCTTCACCTGGTTGTGTGTGAACATCTGTGCAATTCAAAGACCAGGCTGGGAGAGGCAGTCATCCAGCAGCTTTTCAGCTTAACTTAACCAGTAAACTCCAGGACAGCTTCTGACTTGGATAACCATCTCGGCTGCGTGCACCAAAAGCCACGGAGAGAGGACAATGAGGCTGTTGACACGGTGTGTCCAGCCCAGCAATTGTTACAGGCAGGGGTGGGTTCCGGCAGCCACAACTGCCAGTTTGCTTGTGCTAGATGCACGCATGTGCAGTACAATAAAAATTGTTCTGCAGATGCGCAGAACTGACAAACAAGATGGTGATGCCTATGGGGCTGCCCAGAGAACCGGCAGTGCCAGAGCTGACTGCTTGCACGCCAGCAAATATGGCTCCACGTTCCACAGGTTCACCAGCACAGAACTACGTCAATGATGGCTAACCTTTTTGTCATCGCGTGCTGAAAGCACATGCACACTCACTGGCACCCGTAATGCAATGCGCACCAATCCTTCCCATGCACCCTGCCTTTGTCCATATGTGCGTGACCCCTCTGTGCTCCCCACACTTTTGCACACAACCCCCTCCCCCCCATGACATGCTTTGTGCCTAGGTGGCCTCCCTGCAGCCTCATGGGAGCAAAAACGGACCACAGGGAGGGCCGCACTGTACCTCATGGCCCCGCGCATGCATGCACTTCTCCCACATGTGCCTCGTCACACATACGTGGCAGAGATCCGAAAAACAGCTGGCCAGCAGGAGGCAGTGGACCTGAGGTGGGGCGACGGCTCGCGTGTCCACAGAGGGCTCTACATGCCACCTGTGGGACGTGTGCCATAGGTTCGCCATCACAGACCTACGTAAGCTAATGCTCTGGGATGTTCACAATCCATTCACCAGGATCCTAATATCCAGTGGAAGTACACATATTTTAAACGCAACTTATTGCTTCAGTTTCCTCTGATTTGATTCCCTTCTAGGCCTCCTTCAGTGGTCCCAAAAGAGGCCTGAGAAGAACATCATGTTTTTGATCTGTGATGGGCTGCTTGTAGAGATGGGAACACCCTCCCGGGGCTTTTATGATGGAAAGAAAAGCAAAATACAAAGGGAGGAGGTTTAATAAAAGCCCAATCTGGGTGAGGAAAGCAGTCTCGACATTTTATAGAACAGGGGTGTCAAACAAGGAACGCGGGCTGTCTGGAAAATGTAAGGGACCGGCCAGCGTCGCTTCATCCCCGTCTACCCAACCCAAAGATGAAACATGCCAGCAGTTTGGGGAGTGGCGTCAAGCTGGCCATGCCCACCCAGTCGGCCACGCCCCAATACCCCCCCTCAGGTCAACCACAGCCCTGATGCGGCCCTCAATCAAACAGAGTTTGATACCCCTGTTCTAGAACGTGAATTGTCCAGAGAGTCTCTGCCCAGGAGCTGCTCACATCCGCTCCGTCCCACTGCCAGAGAAGTCCGTCTGCAGCGGTGTGATGTTATGGTCGTAAGTTGCATACTCGGAAGATCCGGAGCTCGCCATTTTGAGCTGCTGGGCTGCGTGGGTGAGCTGGAAGGCTGCGTCGGGGTGTGCCGTGTCAGGCAGGAGGGTGCATTCTCTCTCCAGGATATCCGCCACCCCTTTCAGCAGGTCCAAGAACCCGAAGGCTAAGGCGGCCTTCCGCAGGCGGTTCAGTTCCTGGAAAAGCCCAAAAGGGCAGGAAAATCAGCCACCGCCTCTCCGGCATTCTCGCTCCGGCTCAGAAGGAAAGATTCTCAGATCTCTCCCCTCACACCCTCCCATAAATGATTTTGGACTCTGGAAAAAGGAAGTGGGAAATCTGGGCGACAAAATCTCGGCTAAAGTTTGGATTGTGATTTTATTGGGCATATTTATGTGAGGATTTTTAATGTCTTTTATGGTAAGCTTTCCAGAGTTTTGTGGTAAGGTGCCCAGAGTCGCTTTGAAACGAGATGGGTGGCAAATAAATGTGTGTGTGTGTGTGTATGTGTGTTTGTGTTCCAGCATAACTCTGGACTGCCTTGAGCTATTTCAACCAAACTTGGTACTCAGATGACTTACTCTCTGGAAACAAATACTGTGGGGGGTAGGCACCCTTAAAAGCCCCTTGGGGTTACCCCCCCCCCCAGCATTCTTTCAAAAAGCAGACATGGTTTTGCCAGCAAGCCAGAGAACCCAGGGCACTACGGTGCCCACCAAGTGGTTGGTCCAATTGTTGTTGCCACGGGTATCATGATGCTTTGCCAACCATGAAAGACAGGGAAGGGCTTTGGACTATATAAGTAGTCCTCCCTTAGTGACTTCTTGTTCGGCAACCATTTGAAGTTACAACAGTGCTCAACAAGAAGACTTATGGCCGGTCCTTGAAGTTGTGGCTGTCGCAGTGTCCCCCCCAGTCACAGGATCATGACTGGGGCAACAGTTACAATGGTCACAGCTTCCCACAATCACATCATCTCTCCTTGCGATTTTCACTGCCAGCTTCCAATAAGTCAAGTCAATGAGGAAACCAGCCACCCCCTGATTTTGTGCTTAATGACTGCACACGATTCCTTAACAACCACAATTCCCGAACTGTCATTGCACACTGATGATTGCATTTAATTTCGCTGCACAAGGTGCAATGACAATAAAGTAAACTAACTAAGAGCTGGCACAGAGTCCATGCTGGACCCTGGCTCTTGTGCTTCATCATAATCTCTTTCAAAGCCACCTCAGCAATTCACCCTGTGTTTCCCGGTTTCCATGCACCCTGTCTGAAAATGTGAGACGGTTGAATAATAGCTGCACATTGACTGGCCTTCTGTTTCCAACGCTCACCTTATAGAAGGTCAGTGTTTTCTCAGGGAGTTTTCTTGCATTCCTGAGTATCTTCTGTACATCCGTCTGTGGGAAAGTGGAGAAGACACAAAAGTAATCTTTGGCCGGCTCCTGACCAAAGCAGAGCTGCCAACGGAAGCTAAAGAGATCGTCCTCCCTTGCTCTGCTCCATTGGAAAAGCAAGAGATGAATTCTCGTGTAATAGGCCTCTACTTTCAACATTTCATCCCTGCTGTTCAGAAGCACCAACAGGGTTGGTCTTTGTCCGAAGTTCCATCCTGCACACCCATGAAAAGCAAACAGACCCACCCATGATATTGGACAAATGGGAACAGAAACCCTGCAACCCAACATGCTGAGCATTATGTCAACTCCTAAAGTTGTCATAGGGAGGAAAGGGGGGCGGGAGCGCACTCCACGCATTCTTTCGGCTATAGTCGGATCTCAGATTACTGCAGCAGGCTTGGGAGGGGAGCACCTCATTGGGGAATGTGATTTATGACACAGACTGAAGGGAGGGAAGGAACAGGGGTAAAGTTGAGCTGTAATTAAATAAGGCTAACCTGAAACCTGACACATTATACAAGTGAACGTGAGTTATTTGGAAATTTGTGGCGGATGAATTTGTGCAACAGAGGACTAAAAAGGAGGCACGCACATGTACCAAATGGGTTTTACTTTCCGTAAAAGGCACGTTATTTGAAGCAAACTATTGGCAGTCCTGAACTTATGACTACAATGGTGTCCACGTATGTGCAGCTCCACCTGTGCGACGGGCGCACACGCCAGCCACTTGTGCAGATGGGAGTGCGTAGGTACGCGCTCGCCCGTTGTTTCCACAAGGGAGGATCCTCACACGCACAGGCTTATCAGCCGCTTTGGGTGGCCCGGTTATGAACAGCTCACTGGCCCCGAGGGATGGGGACCCCTGCTGTAGACCGCTGATAGGCTGGTCCTGCTGGGTGCCCACAGGAAGAGAGTGCTTGTTCTGACCCAGCTGCCCAAACACAAAAATCCCTCTGAAGTGAACTCAAAGATTCCTTTAATTAGGAGCGCTGGCAGCCCCGGTAAACAGTTTCTCTCTCACCACAGGCTAACAAGTCTGGCCGGCAGGGAGATGAACGGTTGTCTGGCACACCTATTCATCTCTGCCCCCTGCCTTTTATTCCCAGAGCTCAGGTGGGGCTTCGCTAGCAGCAGTGGCTCTTCCGTCCCAAGGACCGGCCCATAGATTTCCACTGCTCTCCTCTCCTCTGCCTTCTACGCATCCGCACGCCAGGCACTGGACCCAGCTGTTCCTCCTCTTCCTCATCAGTCACCTCCAGACCTGGGGGCTCTTGACTCTCCATCTGAGGGCTGATGGACAGCCCAGGCTCCCCCTCTCTCTTCTCCCTCGGAGCTCCCAAATTTGCCCCGATTCTGACCCTGACTCCCTGCCTCCTCCCCCTCCTCTGATTTGGCTGCTGGCAGCTGACAGGCCACAACAGTGCCCTTAAGTTGCACAATGCTTCTCACACCCTGAAAGAACAGGAAAGTGAGGCCATCTCTCAGGAAAGGCTGCCTTTCTGATTAATCTTTTTAGTAAAGGAGATTTCTCTCCCCACAGGGAGCAAAGTTGGATCCTGCTGGCTTTACCTGCAGGCCGTTTGGTTTAATCCACACTGTGACATTCTGAGCGTAGCTTCGCTTGTTCTTGGGCTGCAAAGGGAAGGGGCTCTTGTTGTCATCTTCCCCATAGGGGTTCTCTTTCGCATCTGAAAAAAAATGTGTACAGATAGTCCTTGTTTAGTGACCACCACTGGGACCGGCAGTTCAGTTAACCAAAGCCGTCATGAAGAGGACATGATGATGACTGCAGCTTTCCTTTCCTTTGCAAACTTCTGAAAGCTGGGGGATTCTGGGAGTTGAAGTCCACGAGTTCTTAAAAGTTACCAAGTTTGGAGACTCCTGGGTTAGGCTAAAGGGCCGGATGAGGTTTTGCTTACTTATCACAGGAATTCTTGAACCTTTGAGCACTGAGCTGTGGTGGGGCAGTGGTTGAACTGCAGTACTGCAGGCTACATCTGCTGACTGCCAGATGCCATCAGTTCAACCCTAACTGGCTCAAGGTTGACTCATCCTTCCGAGGTGGGTAAAATGAGGAACCAGATTGTTGGGGGAAAGAAGCTGGCTTTGTAAACCTCTTTCGGCTGTAAAAGCACTGGGAAGCGGTATGTAAGTTTAAGTGTTGTGTTATTCTATTCCACAGGTGTCAAACTCGCTGTGTCACATTGCCGTCATGTGATGTATTGCGACATTTTTTCCTTTCGCAGAGCTGGGGTGGTTGTGGCCTGGCTGTGGCGCATTTGGCCCACGGGCCGCTAGTTTGACACCTGTTCTATTCCTTTTCCTTTCTCTTCTCTTGCGATGGAGGCCCAGTAGTTAGAATGCAGCATTGCAGGCTAACCCTGCTGGCTGCCAGCAATTCGATCCTGACCGGCTCCAGGTTTACTCAGCCTTCCACCCTGCCAAAGTTGGTAAAATGAGGACCCAGATTGTTGGGGGCAAGAGGCTGACTCTGTAAAACCACTTAGAGAGGGCTCTGAAGCACTGGGAAGCAGTCTGTACAGTACTGTGCAAAAGTTGTAGGCAGGTGTGAAAAAAATGCTGTAAACAAAGAATGCTTTCAGAAATATAAATAATGATTGTTTATTTCTGTCAATTTTCAAAAAGCAAAGTGAGTGAACAAAATAAAAATCTAAATCCAATCAATATTTGGTGTGACCACCCTTTCCCTTCAAACCAGCATCAATTCTTCTAGCTACACTTGCACAGAGTTTTTGAAGGAACTCGGCTGGTAGGTTGTTCCAAACATCTTGGAGAACTAACCACAGATCTTCTGTGGATGTAGGCTTTCTCACAGCCTTCTGTTTCTTCATGTAATCCCAGACACACTTGATGATGTTGAGATCAGGGCTCTTTGGGGGCCATGCCGTCACTTCCAGTACTTCTTGTACTTCTTTACGCTGAAGATAATCTTTAATGACATTGGCCGTATGTTTGGCGTCGTTGTCTT